TGCTTGCTGATATTGTGAAATGTGTGATTTTATTTATTTATTTTTTTTTTTTGAATTGAGAGATTGGATTGAATGCTTTTGCTTATGTTTTAAAGATAGTTAAATCTGGAAGAAATATATTTTGATAATACACGGAATTTCCAGATGTCTATTTCATATATTTTTATCTTTGATGTTTTTTTACAAAAAAAATAAATAAATTAATATATTATAATTTTATGGAGCCTTAGTTAGGTGCAATTTCTGGAATGTGGCCTTAAGCCTAATAATCTGCAGGGAAGGTTCCTTAAAAATGTTTGAATCTTCTCTTGCCCAGATTTAGCATGTTGGTCCACGTTTCTAGGTACCTTATGAACCCTCCCGCTCAATTTTGAGATTTTTCCTGCAATTAATTTACTTATTTTTGGGACCACTCTGTCGTAGCTCATGTGTGTGTGTCGTGTGTCTATTTCAAATTCTTGACATGTTGATATTATGTTCATACATTGTCTTTGTTTATTTCTTGAACTTGGAGTTTCTTCCCTTTATTTTTTGTCTTTTTTATGCATATGCAGATTTGGGCAACTTATTTTGGAGGTGGATATCATATTAGATACACATCATGGCTAATTATTATGATATCGATGATATATTGGCTGAAGAGGAGGTAAATTGTTTTTGGAATCCTATTCTGCACCATTTTCTCCAATGAAAAATAGTTATATATATGAGGTATGTTTATGGTTTGCCTCTGGTTTTTATATTTCAGCTTGTCCCATCGGTGTTCCAACATAATGCAAATGGTGTGGGGCTTTTTGATTCAAGTGATGATACTGATAAGGTAATAGTGCAAATGGTGCTGGGTACTTTTTGAAATAGTTTAACCTGAGTAAGATATTCTAGTGGATTTAATATCAGAAAGTACTCATTATCTCACTCCAAGATTCTTTATTTCCTCAATTTTTAGGTGGAGTCTGGTTCCAGAATAGAATTGCCCTTCTGGCTGGTTCGTGAGTTGTATCTGAGGCAGCTTATATCCATAAGGGTCCCCTCTTGTTTTGACAGAGAGTAATATCTCATTTTAGAATCCTAGTTTTTGCGTTCATACCTAATATAAAATTGTGAAGTGAGGATGCATCTTGAGTTGATTGTTTTCCCTTCTTTTATTTTGAAAGTCAAAGAAAATGCTAAATGGATTTGAATTCCTTCACAGAAGCCAATGCATGAAAAATGAAGTCATAAAGATTGAACAAAATATGTTCATGTATACCCTAACTTGTTCTGGTTATGATCTTGAATCTTCACCTGTTCTCCACTTAAGTGATAAGAATTTGAGCCCTCCAAAACAGCAGAATGTTTGTTAAGATTTCGTCGATAATTCTTACATTATGTTGTGGATTTTTAGATTTATTTTCTGTCTTCCTCGACTGTTCTTATGTGCTCAGTTTCTCTTTTTTCCATGCCAGATCCAAAACACGAGAAGAAATAGCGGCTGATGCTGCACATGTGGATCTAAGAACTCGATGCCCATATTTTTATGAATTAGGATGTAAACTAGGACCACTGTAAGTTCCTTTCTTCCCATTGGTCAATTTTCTGAAATTTCAACTTTCCTGAACTTGTACCTGTATTACTTTTGGGAGACAAGCAAGCAAGCAAGAAAGAATAAGATGTCAAAGGCTGTTGTCTTAATGTGTGTGTTAGCACGTCCGTTTTTTATTCATTGTGGTAATATGTGTAGAATTATTGAGAAATTGGCAAATTGCCTGACGGATTGGACATTTGAATGGTGTGAGCACAAATGAGCAAAATAGAGCTATATCATGTCTAGTTTTCCAACTACATCAGTAATATTGTGATTAGTACACTGAATTATGTCATGTTACACCATAGTGCAACCAGTATCTTATTGTGGTAGCTGTTGTATGAGCTCTGGCACATAAAATTCGGGTCGTTATTGCTAAAGCTGTGCTTCTTATTGTGTTGTGAAACAGAATTGGTGACAAAACCATTGGGCCTTTCCTTCTAGTGGCGTTTCGGATAAGATACAGGGAGGTTCTGGTTAAAGCACATACTCTCACAATGGCGGTTGCCCCAAAATACTTGACACTTCTGACTAATGAGGAAACAAAATGTGAGCACATTTGAATCTTTTGAATACTATGATTAGGAACCCGATCGATGTTTTTTCCTGTTCCCTGTCTTGTCTGTTTTTAGTTGGAAGGATTTTGTACTGATGGCTATGTATTTGCATGTAATTCATTTTTTGAAAGTGTATGAAGCTGGTCAATGCTCGATAGCCGCATTTAAGAAGTGGCGTATGGGAGGGCCAAGGTTCCAAATAGCTCCTGTTCTTGGAAGGAAGAGGAAACCAACTTAAATGGTGATAGGTGAATTAATCATGTTCACCGTTTTTTTTTTTTTTGTNTTTTTTTTTTTGCTCATTTCATCGTCCTCTGTAGATTGATCTGGAGTATACCTAATTGGATAGCAGATAGTAATCTGTAATAATTTGTGTGCTGCTGTGAATTCACTGAAGAGGGTTCATATATAGTTTACAATAGTTCTATTAGTTTGTGTACCTGAAAGATTTTGTGCCTCCATTGTTGAATTAGTAGAATTTGAATTTTATTTATTCTAACTAGTACGTGGCCCGTGCGATGCACGAGAAAATAATATTTTGATTGTATTATAAATTAAATAAATAAATAACATTAATCATGATTTATCCATTATTTATAAATTAAACCGGGTTGGACACAGTCCGACCGGATGGACCGAGAATCGGTTTATAACCGATTTAGTGCGTTTGAATAAAATATTTACTATCGAATCCGCCAACACCAGTATGTTGGACTGGTAAGATCGATACGATTTTCTAAATAAATTTTGTTACATGAAAAATTATTTTAAATAAAATTACATATTTAAATAAAATAGAGATTTATAAATTGTTTAGATATTTAAGTAATACTTTCTATTTAAATTTATTTCAAAAAGTACTATATATATATATTAAAGTATTATGTATTAAAATCTGAACAATCACAAGACGGTCCGATTCTGAAAACCTTATATTTACCGTACATTAATAAAAATGATAATGAAATAAATATTTTGTTCATATAAATAATAATAAAATGATATATAAATATTCATAAATCATTAATCATGTTGTCATAAAAGTACTGTTAATATGATTATTTGAGGTTTGGACTACATCACATTCACGTAATAAAGTATTTTCAATATTAAAATTTATATTTAGGTTCAATAATCAATTTGGTCTGGTCAAACTGATACATAACTTAGTTACCTCGGACCAACCAAGTTGTGTCAAGTTTTTTGACTATTTTAAATATCACCTGAAAGTAATTCAATCAAAGTGGGCAGTACCCTAATTCAATCACCCGATTGATCCAAAGTAATTTCCTTATTTTCTTTAATATTTAATTTTATGAAATAAAAATATTCTATGATTCATATGTCTACACCAAATGATAGTATATTAAGATTATAAATTATATATCTAAAGATGAACTATTTATTTTTATTTTATGCATATTAATAAAAATAAACATAGTAATTTTTTTTAAAAAAATTAAGATGAATTGATTGAGTATGCAATTTAAAAAATATTTTTAGCGTTCAATATATATATATATATATGTAACCTTAATTTAGGAATATATATTTAACATTAAATATAATATATATTTAGTAATTTAGGAATATATATATATATATATATTCCAAATAAATATTTTTAGCGTTCAATATTTAACATAGTAATATTTTAGCGTTCAATATATATTTAACATGATTGAATTTTTGGATTAGAATATATATACTTAAAGTAATTTTATTATTAAAAGACAAAAAGAAAATATGTCATAAAGATTACAACTTTGAAAAGTTTGTAACCATTAATTTAGGAACCCTCCAATTTTAAATAATTATAGTTTTTGAAACATGATACGTGCATTTAAAACTCATTAATTTAGGAACCATCCAATTTTTTGATAATGAACTAAAATTAAAATGTAAAATGTAAAAGTTGCTGAAAATAGTATATAATAAATGTGGTTGACTTTTCCTTACTACTATTTATGGTAAATGTTAATTCTTATTAGGGCATCCGCAACGGTCATTAAAACCATTCATTTAAATGCTCTTTTAACGTTCAAACCAATGTGAGTGCGTTCATTTAATGGTGTAAATTAAAGGTCCCACCATTATCATTCATACCATTGAATGGCTATTTGCAACTTTTTTTTTTGTTTTTTTTCTCTTCAGCCACCACTTGCAAGCATTTTTTTATTCTCTTTTTGTCCTTTTTCTTTTTTTTTTTCAACGGCTATGCAAGCCTTTTTTATTCTTTTTTTATTTAATGTTACTTCAATTATTTTTGTATCCGTTTAATTTTTCTTTTCAATTCTATCCGTTGAGCTTTTTTTTTTATACTTTCTATCATTATTTTTTGTCTATAAATATATCTCATTCTTACATTTCTTCTACACCAAAAAATTAGCAATTTTCATTTCTGAAAAGAAAAAATGGATCCCAATAATAGGCAAAACTTTCAAAATTTCTCAACTTCTAATACTAACAATCCTGATGAATTTCCATTATTCCAAAATTCACAAACTCCGCCAAATTTATCATTTTCACAAGCTCCTTATCGAGCACAATTTTTTCCACATTTCCCATCAAATTTTCCTTTTATGCAACAATCCCAAAATTATCCAATGTCTGGCAATATTCAATACTCACAATATCCTCCACAATCTTTATATCAAAATCCACCACCTGAATATTGGCAGTACATAAGTAGTCAAAATCTGGTGCAATCTTCTCCGCAACAATCGAGTCAATCTTCCGGATCTCAAATGAGGAAATAACTCAATACTCAAACTTACGTTCCGGAAACACAATTACAGGATCGTGAAGCAGCTATAAATGTTGAAATGCCAAGAAACACACGTGTTGCTGTTGAGGGCCGGAAAAAACGTCCACAATGGACAACGGAAGAGGACGTGCTATTGGAAAAAGCTTATGCGACAATAGGTGACGACCCTATTACCGGTAATGATCAGAAGGCCGAAGCGTTTTGGGTACGTGTTACAAAATATTATAATGAAAATACACCTTCTGATTATATTTCTAGAGATTTGAATATGATAAGATCTCACTGGCATAATACAATTCAAAAAAAGGTGTATCGATTCAATGAGTGCTATAACAGTACTTACGGTGTGTATCGAAGTGGTTGTAGTGATGAGGATATATTAAGTCGGGCTTACGAAAAATATCGTACTGAGAATAATGGTGTAGCCTTCAATCTTGAGCATGTGTGGAGAATCCTAAAGGATCGTCCTATGTTCACTCCACAATCTTCTAATGATATTTTTGTTGAGAGAAAAAAGACGAGAATTGATGAGTCTGGTGCCAGCAACACTTCATCAAAGGGGGATGCGAGCATTGATCTAGATGAACTTCATGAAGTGGCTCGCCTAATCGGACAGAAGGCAGCCAAACGAAAGGCCAAGGGCAAAGGAAAATCTAACCTTGATGAGATGACCGCAGAATATAACAACATGGTTAAGCACCTTGCTGAGTTAACAAGCTTGAAAAAGACTGAAGTTGAAGTTAAAAAAGCAACACTTGAGGAAAAGAAGCAGAGGAATCGTCGGAAAGACTATGATATTTTAATGAGGGACACAAGTCACATGACCCAAGAGCAACGTGTTACTCATGAGAAAATGTGCCAAGTAATTCGAGAGAAATGGAACTTTTAGACTTTGCATTATCTATTTTAATTATCCTTGTAATTCTGTACGTTGTAATTTGCAAAATTGAATTTTCATCTTATATTTCATTTAAGTTTTGCAAAATTAAAACTATGTAAACTCACATATTTTATTCAAAGCAAACTCACAGTATTAAAGCAAACTGGCATATTTCCTAGTCAAAAGAAGGAAGCTTCCTCACAATTTCCTAGTCAAAGGAAGGGAGCTTCCTTACAACTTCTTAGTCAAAGAAAAGAAACTTCCTCGTAAGTTCCTAGTCAAAGGAAGAGAGCTTCCTCGTAAGTTCCTGGTCAAATGAAAGGAGCTTCCTCGCAACTTCATCAAAAGAAGCATTTGTTTGGCTATAAATACCTCATTTTGTATCCCATTTTGTATCCCATTCCAAGTGAAAGAAAAAGAAGAATCCTCACAAAATGTCTCAAAATTCATATAGATCCGAGTCTAATTCATCATCATCCACCGATAGTGAAGATGGTGAAAACACTAACGATTTAGAAGTTGAACTGATTTCATCAATCGTTCAACGAAGCCACGAGTTACTTCAAGCATACCAACATGAAATTGAAGTTCGTAGAAGAAGAAGGTTCATCCAGAGAAATCGAGAAGATGGACATAACAGACTTGTAAGTGATTATTTCTCTGATCATCCTGTCTACCCGGATCATATATTTCGTAGGTGTTTCCGTATGCGAAGAGAATTATTCCTTCGAATTGTGAATGCACTTCAGACACAATCATCATATTTCCAGCAAAACTTTGATGCATCAGGAAGACAAAGTTTGTCACCACTTCAAAAATGCACAGCAGCCATTCGTCAGTTGGCTTATGGAGTCCCAGCTGACCACCTTGATGAGTATTTACGTATGGGTGAGTCAACTGCTATCAAATGTCTTTTTAAATTTTGTGAAAGTGTGGTTCAAATTTTCGGTGATGAATATTTGAGAAGATCGAACAGTAGTGATGTTCAAAGACTCCTCCAAATGTATGAAGAAAATCATGGTTTTCCGGGTATGCCTGGAAGCCTTGATTGTATGCATTGGGAATGGAAAAATTGTCCAGTTGCTTGGAAAGGCCAATTTACAAGAGGGCATGGGTCTCCTACGATTGTCCTTGAAGCGGTTGTTTCACACGATTTGTGGATATGACATGCCTTTTTTCGTGTTGCAGGATCACGTAATGATATCAACGTATTGTATGAATCTCCTCTATTTAATAATGTGTTGCAAGGAAATGCACCAAACATTCATTTCACTGTCAACTGCACGCAATATGCAAATGGGTATTATCTTACAGATGGAATATATCCAGAATGGGCTACGTTCGTAAAGTCTTTTCCTTGCCCGTCAGATCCTAAAAGAAAGTTATTTAAAGAAAAACAGGAAGTTGCTCGAAAGGATGTGGAAAGAGCATTTGGGGTGCTTCAGTCTTGATGGGCAATTGTAAGAGGTCCTGCTTGATTTTGGTATAGAAGAAAACTGAAATTTGTTATGTTGACATGCATTATTTTACACAATATGATTGTTGAAAATGAAGGAGGTGCAGTAACAAATTGGCACAATGACGAGGATGAAGAGCCCGCACAACCTGTCCAGGGTTCAAATCGAGAATTTCAAAATTATATCCATAGAAGTTCAGAAATACGAGATAACACAGTTCATCATCAACTTCGTGCCGATTTAGTTGAGCATATTTGGACTCATTTTAGCCACTAAAAAAATTATATTTTGTAATTGTATTATTTTTTTCTTGTGTAATCTTAATTTAAGTTATTATTGTAGTGTGCTTTTATTTTCATGTATTTAAAATTTATTATTATAATTTAAAAATATTAAATTTTTATTTTTATTGAGAATAGAATATTAAAATTTATATTGAATGAATGGATAGAATGGGTCCCATATTTGTATTTAAATGAATGTGTAGGGATGTGAGTGTGTTTAAATGGAGAGAGAATTAGTGGAAAGATAATGTGGAAATGATGTGGAAGAGAGAGAGTGTACTTTTTTGATTGAATGAATGGAAAAAAAATTAACAAATGCGGATGCCCTTATATATATATATATAGATCAGTTTCTTATCTGACATGATGTATACCTGAATTCTACAGTCATCACTTACCAGTGCATTCTTCTTTGAATAATAATTACCTTTCGTGGTGTATTGTCATTCACAGGTAAAGAAAGATTTTATCCAAGGGTAATTTGTCTTCATTTTACGCAGTATAATTGACACTGATGCGGTCCACATAGGCTCAGCTCAGCTCGTTTATCGATAATAACGAGTCGAATTCGAGCCTTAACGAGCTGATCTTAAATTTTAACGAGTCGAATTATAAAAAATTATACAAAAAGTTTCTTTTCGAGCCTTAACGAGCTTCAAATGAGCTTGAATTTGGCTCGTTTATCAAATGAGCTGAGTCAAACTCGAGCCTTAATGAATTCGAGTCACATGCTCAAGTTATCTGTGGATAATATCTCTATTCATGAATTAAGGTTACCTTTATGCAAATGAGATATTTATACCTCTCAATTACTTGTCTTGCAAGGTTTGTATACGGAAAGTGATTCCCCTTATCTCTGCATTCTTTAATTCATGATTATCCGAAAAAATCATTTGATCAGGTCGCTTTAGAGGAACTTAGTAGGTCATGCTACATATTCCCGTTTTATAAATGGATTCTAGGTCATTTATGTTATTAGATAATTGCAATTTTATATTGCTTCTTCCCCTTCCCCCGAATTATCAGAAAACAGAGGCCAATTTTTAGATTAGCGTCCGCGTCTCCTTGCGGCTCTTGGAAGCTCATCTGCACCGCGAAGATAGCCGACTCTGGCCTCCTTCCTCCTTGCTGATGTCGGTCTCTAATCCCTTCATCCATGTAATTAATTAAAAATATATAAATAAATTTAAAACAAAATATTGTGTATATATATTTTACAAAATAAACACACGTGGTTCTATATATATAATTTTTGGTATTTATCGTATCTCATAATAACTAAAATAAATAATCTCATATATATATATATATATAAGTTTTAATGAAAAATTACAAATGCTATTTCAAGTAAATGTGAACCTTTCTATAGATATAAATTGCAAAATCACAACAGTAGAAACTAGTAGGTTTCATAAGCAAAGCGCATATTTGCTGTCTCACTATTTTTCTGCAAACTAACGATTATGAGCAAAATGTGCTGAAATAACTTTGAAATGGTGAACAATAACTGTATTATTTATTCAGTAATGCTTAATTCCTAATATCGAACAATCATATTTTTTTTTTCAATAAATACACATACATAAAAATTAAAATACAATATAATCAAAAGAAAACATAATATATATATATATATATATTATGACTAATTAATATATATATATATATATATGTATATATATTGATCTAGCTGTCGGAATCATGTAACTGATTAGGTAAATAATGTTGAGAGAAACGGAATCTGACCATATGAGACTTCCAGACAGCTTGGGATGCTTTGCTCCTTCATGTCCTCTATGGACCATCTTATCAAGTTGCTTTGCATTTTTGTTTCTTATTTTCAACTCTTCAAAATAATAATAATGGTTCTCCGAAAAAATCCAATAAACAGCAAGTACTTATAATATTATCTCGAATTAAACTAACGTTGTGGGTTCTGAATGTTATTCTAACAATTTTTGCTATAGTAATTCCGTCAGTGTTATATATTTTATGAGATTACATTACTATTATTGTTTTTATATTGTTGCTTTTATTGTTTAAACTCATTTCCTTCAATTATATTATCACACACACACACATGGCTAACGTTATCATGTAGGAAACATCATTGACCTAATTAATCCAACAACGTGATGACACAATATTTGTCATTACATCTATGCCTTTGCTTGGGTGTTATCCACCATTAGTGTCAAAATTGTACATTAAAGTTGACGCCTTTTTTATGAATAGACACTAAAGTTTGTGAGGGCTTTTTNATTCTGTTTGTGAAGGAGAGTTGAAAGCCAATGGATCTTGGCTGGGGGGCATAGGAAGGCCTAGCTAGGCTAATAATGCCACAAAACTAATAAACTATAAATAGGACAAGTTGATATTGGATGATTGGATTTTAGATTTGTAATTTGAAAATGTTATTTGTAGATAAGGTGTTTGGTCGAAATCTTGAGGGTCATATTGGTGTTAGAAAATCATGTATGGTGGAACTAATTAAATGCAAGCAGCAATAGGAGTATTGTTGGGTCATTTTCTATTGATTGACTGCGCGTCGTTACACGGTAAATTTGAATTTATAAATTTTTCCTAACTTACCCCTACTAACAAGTAGCAGTGGCGAGCAAGGGTCGATCCCACAGGAAGTGTGGTATAAACAGTGAGTTTATTATATTAATTGGATTAAAATAAAAATGGGGAGATTTGATTTATTACGAAACTACTAGCAAAACAAGAAATAATCTAAAACTAAAAATAAATGAATTATATGCCAAAGATGATGAAACCGAAAATAGATAAAAATAATCTAGCAAAGATGAGAATGGAATCGGTTCCAAGTCGGTCTACACCCTCGAATAACTAGCCCAATTAATGTTTTTATCAAATTTCACTCATCTTCTAAAACTACCGGTCCTAGATAGCAATAAGCTCTGCTACCCGAATTTTTCCTTAATTTATACTTAATCGAAATAGGCTCTTCAATTAATTCTAACTAGCGAATAACTCGGAATAAGCTCTCCTAATTTAACCCACTAGTCGCATTAAAATCTAGGAAAATAGACCGATCTAAGCCACAAACACATAAGCTCGGTTCATGTAACTTATGTTGTGCTATCCCTAACAATGCACGACTGTTAGTTGCTACAAACGAAATAAGAGCGCCGACAATTACGGATCGAAGCCTCAAATCTAGCAATTAACATGCAATTCCTAACTTAGGTGATCAAGCTAAATTAAAAATCACACATTATGACATGAAACTAGAATAACACAAACAATTTTATACGACGAGTAAAACGAATAAATAACATTAATCAAACATAGTCATCGAGGGTTCAACGTCCTTAGAACCGAAATAAGTATTTAGCTACACATAGCTAAATAATAAATATAAAAATAATAATCCATAATGTTTAATCAAAATAAACTAAAGCAAATAAAACTAAATAAAACAAACTCCCAATGTCCAAAGTTATTCACGGTTGAATTGAGTTGCAGCACCAATTAAATCCTCAAGCTCTTTGATACTCTCTGTTCACGCCCCGTATGAAAAGTCTTAAGCAGGATAATGAATTCTTTTCTTTTCCTCTCTGTTATGTCACGCAAGTGTTCGGATTAGATTCCAGAACCCACCAAATTCTCCAATTCATTCCAACAACTTTTTCCCAAAGTCAAACAATCAGAGTCCAATAGCAATCCATATTCCTCTTTTCTTCAGTCCAACCAATTCGAAAGTCTCCATGCTGGGAGTATTTTGGCCAAGCAAAATTACATGTCACATCCATGTCTATTAAATTTGCCACCTCACCAATGTCATGTGATCATTAGGCATAATATCTGCAAAATAAAATAAAATACAATTATTGGTGTATGTCCGTTCACAAAATAAAATATGTGAGAAAACTTGAATAATATACTAAAATCTAATACTCAAATATGTAAATTAAATCCCAAAATAATACAAGAATTCTCACGTATCATTGATTCATGGGTATTTCCTTTTTTAATTAATGAGGATTTGTGATCCTTTTCCTCTATTATCCACTTGTTGTATAACCCTAATTGAATCATAAATTGCTATCTACGTTCAAGGTCCCTTATGTCCAATTTTCTTTAGCAAGAACCATCTTCAAATCAAACTAGTACAACACAAGTTTAATTGAAAAATACATACACAAAAGTTATAAGATATAACTTGATTTACGGAAGCGTACGAGTGAGAAGGATAAATGAAAATTCAATCTTAGAACACGATAAAACACGATCAATTTTTTAGGCAAAATCAACTGAGGAAAATAAATTAGAGGGAATCCTTTATATAAGACCCCTATACCCTGAACCTAACTTGTTCACCAAGACTAAGTAAAATAACAAATAAATACTAATTAATACTTGAAATAATAAGAATAGTAGATACTACCAAATATTCTAGTAATAATAAATATTTTGATACTCCGTCTGCACTATTCTCCCCCGATTGAGAAGGATTATCCCTCGAATCCGACCGATCTCCCTGCTGACGGTTGGAGTCGTACCCAAGGCAGGAATCGCCCGACGGTTTCTGCCTCTCGACCGCAAAGGTGGAATGTCGACCAACTATGTCATCATGTCCAAGAATTCGTGGGACCACCTCACGCTGTAACACATCAGTGGATCCTCGATGAAAGATACGGGAAAAAAATCTCCAATGAAAAAAATAGCACCCTTGGGATGCCAAAAAACCAAACCCCCCACCAGCTTCATCCTCTATGGAAAAGATATCAAGATCTTGACCAATTCGACGTTGGTCCCACTTTTTAGCCTCCTTCTCGAAGTGAAAATAAGCTTTAAATTGTTTTGCGCTCTCCCATGCGGTACCATATATTCCTTGCAGCATTGGTTTATTGGAGTCTCCTCGCCAAGAAGTCCCAACAAATGACTCAAGCTCAACAACTTGTCTATTGATGTGGCCAACAGATTCAACATGAGGCCCAACACAAAGAACCAACCGTTCGATACCTATGTGATAAATGGTGACAGGCTACTCTGTAATTCCCCCTAAAATGTCCATCTTGTAGGGCTCACTCACAGACTTGATCCTTTTCTGAGCTTATTATCGGATGAAAGGCAAATTCTGACCAATAATTCGATCAATTTCTTTCTCAATTTTCGTAATGTCCATATCAGTAAGAGGTTTCATGAGGAAATAGTGGAAGAGCATTGGACGTGTTTTATTTTGTATGATTTGAGATTGTGGAAAATATATTTTTAAATTGAATATTGACTATTACAATTCTAGGGTAAAATGAGATTGGAATACGTTAGGACATGATAAACGAGTAAAGAAATTTATCTTTTCGAAAGGTTAGCGAGATTGTTTGCTTGAGGACAAACAAAAGGCTAAGTGTGGGGGAGTTGTTTGTATGTTTTTGTTGTTATTTCGTGTGTTTTTAAGTGTTTTATTTGTGCTCGTTTTAGTTTATTTTAAGTTTTTCCTAGTCCATTTAGTCGTTTTTGCTTGTTTTTTGTTTTTGTGTTGTTTTGGTGTCTTGTGCTTTTTGTTTCTCTTTTTTATCTTTTATTTTGTAGGAATTTGTGTTTCGGAGAGTCGACGGAAAATCACCGAGAAATTTGCAGGAAGAGTCTCCAGAGAGTTCCCGGCCGATCGCCTAGGCTAGTACACGGTAGGCCCGCGCAACCAGCTCTTCCGCGTGCCCGAGAGACTCGCGATGCCAGCACTCGCCCGCTTACTCGTCGCACGCCCGCCCAGCGGCTTGCCTGCACTCGCCCGCGTACTCACCATGCGCCCGTCCAGCGGTTTGTCTGCAGCTCGCCTGCAACACTCGCCCAGAGCTCTCCCAGGCGAACAACTCGCCCGCGTGCCCGCCAGTGACCCGCTCACCCGTGCACTCGCCTGTACAAGATCACGGGTGAAATTTTCGCAGAGGCCCACTCGTAACATGCAAATATTTCGCCTAGCACGAGCCCAGGTGAAATTTTCGCCCGAGCGAACCGAGCCCATTTTTCGCTTGGTAAAATTTCTGCCAGAATCCTTAGACGGATGAGTGTAGTTTAGTAATTGTGTATTTTTCTAGTGTGTGTTTTGTGTATTAGTATAAATACTTTTGCTACTTTGTACTTTGAGAAGAAATCCTTCATTTGCTTAGTTTCCAAGTTAGGAAACACCCTTTTTTCTCTCTATTTTTATGTTTGGAGCTCTATGACTCATATTTTCTGGCGACTTTCCGGTGTTTCCGTTTTTATGCTAGATTCAAGTTTTTTCCTTCAATTCTATACGAGCATGCAATAGGAGAGTGAGTACTTCGCTTTTAAGATTCATCATTATTCTGTATTTGCTCCATTTTTACTTTTGAAGTTTTAAAAGGTAAATGTGGTGTCTTGCTAGTTAATTGAAGTAAAGTTTGGATCTTTTTATTTTCCTTGCTTGTCTAAGTGAATTTAGAAGTTAAATACGTGCTTCCCCTCTTCATAAATTAGAGGAAGATCGACGCCAAATTCGAGATTTAGGTTTCGAAAAAATGGGGGTTTTAAGAACGGATATATTGTTTATTTTATTAATAAATTATAGCTTAATAAGATTAAATATCCTCACTTTTCGAAAACAGATTTTATATGTACTACATGCGTATCCCACAATATCAGAAGAAATAATTTATTTAGAGATAAAATATTTTGGTAATAATCTTTTACTTAACAAGCAACTATTCTGAAATTGATTATTGATTATTGATACGTTTAACACTTGCAGATATTTTTTGGCATATAAACGATCACATAGAAATCTTGTAAATTAAATTATATTTTGAATAATGATATTTTGCAATTAAAAAATATTCCCCTACCGAAAGATATATAGTAATTCTTCCCCAGTTCTCCATAGTTTCTTGTTTGTTCTTTGTAGCCGTCAATAGGTTATTGTGTAAAAGAGGCATGGGCGCAGTCCAAACCCTTAAGTAAAATCGTCGGTACAGAGACCTTAATCCGTCGACAATCTAAGCTTTTTTCTTTCTTATTTTGTCATCTTCATTATTTCCTCATTAAATCAATATTAAAACGCTAAATCGAATATATATATATATAGGGGCTGGTTCAAATAAAAACTATGTCTGGTGTGAGAACTGTGAGAACCATATTTGATGCTATTTTTAATTGTGTATGATGCTATTTTTAATATTACGTGGTGCTATCATTTTCATAAATGCTAATAAAAATTTTGTTGCTATTTTTAATCAAATACATCCTAGTTAAAAATAGCACTAAAACACAACTAATCATAGCACTACATACAATTAAAAATAGCGGTTCTCACGGTTCTCACACTAGGACTTGGTTCTCATTTGAACCACATCCTATATATATATATATATATAATTGTAGGCTATTCATTTATTGCTAAAGTAAAACTTTTCCCCCTAATTTTCAGCTTTTTTTAGGAAGTTTTAATTTCTTTTGTTTTTGTTTGTGTTTATATCATTAAATTGGTAATAAATATTTTAATATTCATAAAAATTGTAACGGTTAAGTTTTAAAAATAAACTTAATTATGTGATTTGTTATTTTGTAAACAATGAGTAATATTATATTCGGGAGTAATCATTCAATATTTCTAATATATATCTCTTCTTTTGGTTGAAAAATATTTTTAATTTTGGACTTCAAATTATTCATACTTAATTTTAATCACCTTGATTAGTACAACAAAATCGAGTTTCAAGACAACTATTTTGAAGTAATATATAGATTTCGATTTTTTCTTAGAAAATAAATTATAAAAGTAAACCATAATCCTATTAGCTATTTTGTGTTTTTCTATTTGTACGGATTCCATTATTAATTTGATGCGATTCTATATATTAAAAAAAATTATCTTAGTAATGTAGATTTATATTAATTTTATCAAATTATGTTACTTTTATTAGTTTTTATTTTAAAATGAATTTGTAAGTGTTGTTATGTATAAAAATTGTACAAAGTAGTCTATTGATCGACTGCGATGGCCTTTTCAATTTAGCTTTCATGTAAGTGCTAAAAAACGTACATTGTTATTAATGTGTCTTACAAGTTAGTTGTGTATTTTATAATGACCAAATTTTTTTAATAAAAGTAATGAACATATATGTATCAAATTATAAGTGAAAAATTATTATATGAAATAATCTAAATTGTACATGTATTTTATTTTATTATTAATACAATTAATACGATAAAACATTAACATATACTATATAAAACTTATATTGTCCATTTCAAATTTATAATTTTTTTTTTTTTACTTTGGTGATACTTTTATGATTATTATCATTATGATATTTGAAGTATATATAAAATTATATTGTTTATTATACTCATATAATAATCATTAACATATGATAAATTACTCATTTATACTTTTTTGTTGAAATCTAAAATTTTAACTAAGAGTAAGTAATATAACAATTTAATTATAATTATGATAAACATTATTAAATGTTTTTTTATTTTAATTATTAATTTTATATACAAAATTTACATTATTTTTTATGTTATCTGTGCATGTGCACAAGATGACTACTAGTTCTAAATAATACACCATCACTTCGGTGGTCCCGTTGGCAAAAACAGACTTCAAGAGGCTTAAAACTACTATAAGCCACACGGAATAAAATTTTTCTACCATGCAATTTTCATGTGAAAACAAATAAAACAGTGTGCTTAATTGTCAATTCAAAATACTAATGCTAACAATTTTTTTGCTCGAACTGGTTAGACAGGTAGATCCGGGTGGGTCATTCAAACGGTCAATTTCAAAATGACTTATTCAAAATCCAGTTGACCCGACATTGACTCGATCGAGTCAGCCAAATTTTACCCAACCAATTTATATTATTTTAATATTGTTTTAAAAAATATATTTATTTTTAAAAATAATATTATGTATATTTATTTACGTGGTATATAATTTGATGAGATATAATATCAATGAGCCTTTAAGATAATAAAGTTATATACTTTTTTATTTTTATTTTTATGTATATTTATAAGATAAAAATAATATATGTATATATATACATATAATTTTAATTTTTTTTAAGAATTATTCAATTTAGTGGAATCGGTGTCTCGATGCCCTGAATGCCAACTCGGGTAATTGACCGACCGAGCTTGAAAATATTGAGAAATGCACTTTTATAAGCATTTTTTTTTTCTTTTTCTTTTTTATATATATTCAACAAAACGTAACAATAATTTTCCAATAACAAATCAACCGGATTCAAATTTTAAAACACTTTGTGGGTGAAAGCATTACATAAAGTTCTATTTTGAAGAAAAATTCGAACCTACAAGGGTATTCCCTTCGAGTTGTTTGATGATAGATTAACACATATTTCCCTTATTTATATAATATATTTAAGCTTGTGTAACTAATGATAAAAATAAAATAAAAAATAATAAGAAAAACTCTTCATTTGAGGGTCGTATTTGCATATTTTGATACGTCAAAAAGAAAAGAAGGTAATTTTTCAGTTTTCTCCACTGATCAAAATCACCTAGGCCAATCATTATTATATTATTAAATTAATTAACTTATCTTTAGTCCCTTTATCTAGTCAACCATATCTCCGTTGCATGTTTAAATATTCTCATGATTATTGTCATAATGATCCTCAATTATTTGGGTGAAAATCTCGAATTCAAAAAGTAATTAAAGGTAATCAATCAAGCCTTTTTTTTTTTTTTTTACAAAGAAAGAGACTCCGCCTATTAGCGTGAGCTACAAATCGCCCTCGAATACGACACGCCAATCAGGTCATGGTGAAGCCTTTTGAATCACTAGTGACTATCTAAGTGAGCATCTTTTTAGGGCACAAGAAGTCAGAAGTTCATTTTTCTAACTGTAGTTTTCTAAAACAGCTGATGTTTATATGTCCATTCCATTTTTAAATCAGACAAGATATTAATTTCAAGTGAAAAAACAAAGTCTATCAGAACTATAGATAATACAATAGATCTTGCATCTTCTAGAAAAAAGATGAATTACAATAAAAAATAAAGAGGTTAATTTATATTTATATAATGAACCAATCCTTATTGCCATAATTGACATGAGTTCGGGAGGAAAATTTTTTCGTCTATATTTGACATTTAATTAATATTTATTTATTAGAAAATGATATGCATGAAAAATATTATTAATTTTTATACACTCAATAAATATTACTC